AATGATGTGATAATTATCTGACTGGGAAACAAACCTCCATTACGTCACGAAATGAAAAAAAAAGATAAAACAGAAGGAAATAAAAGAAACAAACAAAACCTCCATTACGTCACAAAGCAAAAAAAAAAGAAAAAAATAAATAGAACAGAAGGAAAATAAAAGAAAATTGATAAAACAGAAGGAAAACAAAAGAAACGAAAACAAAAGCAGCGACAAAAGATAATAAAAGTAATAAAAAAGCCGCCCCTGAAACTTCAAAGACGAATGCTCTCTCTTCTCTCTCTTCTCTCTCTCTGTCTCTTCCTCTCTTCGCTTCGTTTTAGAGGTCGGCTAAAAATGTGAATATGAGTAATAAGAAAGAGGGAAAAAAAACTTTTATGTATTTTTGATGCAAAGACGATTGCGTGTGTTTATAGGTCTACAAAAGAGGAAGGGAAGGATGAAGGGAAAGGAAGAAGGAAGAGGAAGTGAAGGATGAAGGGAAGGAGAAAGAAGGAAAGGATGAAAGGAAAGAGGAGGAAGGAAAGGAGAAAGAAGGAGAGGATAAAGAAGCGTTGAGGTCACTGACACCTATGGAAGATGGAGAAGAAGAAAAGGAAAGATAGGAAGAATAGAAGTTGAAGGAGGGGAGGAAGAGGAAGGGGAAGTGAAGGAGGAAGAGGAGGAGGAGAAGGAGAAAGAAGAAGAAAGGGAGGGGGAGTAGAGGAGAAAACAAGAAGTAGACGTAGAAGAAAAAAGAAAAAAAAAGTGAAAGAAAAAGAAGAAGAAGGAGAAGAAGAAGAGAAGAAGAAGAGAAGAAGGAAGAAGAGAAGAAGAAGAAGAAGAAAGAAGAAGAGAGAAGAAGAAGAAAAAAAAAAAGAAATAGTGAAGAAGAAGAAGCAGGAGGAGGGAGAGAAAGAAAATAACCTTAAGCTGACTAGGACCCCCAAGGATGAGGTTAAACGTATTTTCTTTTTCTTTTTCTTTTTCTTTTTTTTTCCTTGAGATACGAGCAATGGCAGGGTTCATCTCCTTGACCTTGCGGGCGTACAGGAAGAGCCTGATAAAGTAGAAGAAATAGAAGGAGGAAGAAAAACACGGGAGGAGAAGAAATAAGAACAAGGGAAGTAAATAAAAGGAGAAAGAAAAAAAAAAAGGAAATCGATTTATAAAAGCGAGGATTGATACGCGTGATACCCCCTCCCCCTCCCCCTACCCCCAGGTTCTCCTTTTCCTTGACCTTGTGCACGTAGCCGCTCCCCCCCCCCCGTCTCTCTCTCTCTCTCTCTCTCTCTCTCTCTCTCTCTCTCTTCTCTCTCTTCTCTCTCTCTCTCTCTCTCTCTCTCTCTCTCTCTCTCTCTCTCTTTTTCTATCCCTCGCTTTCTTTCTCTCTCTTTCTCTTTCCTCCCTCCCCCTCCCCTCCCCTCTCCTCTCCCCCCCCCATCCTTCACCCATTCTCCTTTCCTACCTCCTCCCTCCCCCTTTCTCCTTCCCCTCCCTCTCCACTCTCCCCCCCTCTCTCTTCCCTTCCCCATCTCTCTCCTCTCTCCCCATCCCTCTCTCTCTCCACTCTCCCTCTCCTCTCCTCCCTCCCCATCCCTGTCCTCTCTGCCTTTTCCCCCCCCTTCTCCTTCCCCTCCCCCTCTCCCCATCCCTCTCCTCTCTCCCCACCCCTCTCAACTCTCCTTTCCCCATCCCTCTCCCTTCCCCTTCTACTTCCCCATCCCTCTCCTCTCTCCTCTCTTCTCCCCATCCTTCTCATCTCTCCTCTCCTCTCCCCATCCTTCCATCTCTCTCTCTCCCTTCTCTCCCTCTCCACTCTCCCTTCCCCCTCCACCCCTCTCCACTCTCCCTTCCCCCTCCCCCTCTCCCCTCCATCTCCCTCCCCTCCCTCCCTCGTTTACTCTCCAAACTCTCCCAGGGGCGCCGAAGATCTCGCGCGGACTTCATAAATCGCCAATGAATTCGCGTTGGAGCGGATGTTCCCCTTGGTCCCTCGTTTCCGGAAGGGGATGTCAGGCGGTTAACTGCGGTGGAAGTTTTTTTTTTTTTTCTTTTTTTTTTTCTTTTTTTTGTTCTTTTTTTTCTTTTTTTTCTTTTCTTTCTTTCTTTTTTCTTTTCTTTTTCTTTTTCTTTTTTTCTTTTTTTTTCTTTTTTTTCTTTCTTTTTCTTTCTTTTCTTTTTTTCTTTTTCTTTTTCTTTTTCTTTTTCTTTTTCTTTTCTTTTTTCTTCTTCTTTCTTCTTCTTCTTCTTCTTCTTCTTCTTCTTCTTCTTCTTTCTTCTTGATCTTTTTCTTTTTTCTTCTTTCTTCTTCTTCTTGATCTTTTTCTTTTCTCTTCTTTCTCTTTCTTCTTCTTCTTCTTCTTTTTCTTCTTCTTCTTCTTCTTCTTCTTCTTTCCTCTTCTCTCTTTCTTTTTCTTCTTTCTTCTTTAAGGGGGAGGGGGAGGGAGGGAAAGAGAGAGTGCGGAGGGGCGTGTGTAGGGGGGGGAGGGGGGGGGTTGTTGGGATCTAATGCTTTTATATTTATTTCTGTTTTACTTTTTTTTTTTTTTTTTTTCGTTTTCCTGTTTTTTTCTCTCTCTCTTCCTGTTTTATTTCTCCCTCCTTTGTTTTTTTCTACTTCTTTTTCTTCCTCTTCTTTATCATTATATCATCATCATCACCCTCTTTATTTGGTGTTCTTGGCGCGTCATGCACACGCGCGTGCGCCGGACCACACGCACTTTG